GCGGCTCCCCCCCCCCCCCGCCCCAAAAATCCTTTGATCACCGGCCCATCGTGCCAAGGGAAGGAGAGCCGGCAGATGCTCTCAAGGCAATTCCATTAAGAAGCCTTCCAGTTGTGGAATGTGACTCTAATGGGTGATTCCGGCTCCTCTAGCCAGGTACTGGGGGGGGGGGGGTTCGCTGGGCCGGGGACACCCCCCTCCCCCAGTTTCCTGCATCGGTCCCCTTGCCCTCCGTGGCTGCTTCCCCTCCACCTTGTGCTGCGCCCCGCGAGCAGTTTTCTATTTGAGGAAGCTCCTGCTCTGTTATTTGTCATGTTGGGTTCCTTGACACCTTTTGACTGGCGTTCTGTGCTTGGATGCGCTTGTGGGACACAGGAGGGCGAAAACCGCCAACCATAAATATAGGAGTAAACGTATTTATTAAGGTGCCGTATCAGACGCTCCTCTGTGTAGCCCAGCCTTGTTGACTCTGCTTGGCAAACAGCTCTGCAGTTTTTTTCCCCTGGCCCTTGTCCTCAGTAACGGGGGCTCTGGGGCCAGCAAAGCGACGCGTTTCCCCCCCAGCTCCCTCCGCCTGTCAGCCCAGGTGTCAAACTCTCCCAGATTTGACTGGGGAGAGATATGGTTTGCAAGCCGCCAGCCTCTAATGGCAAATTTCTGAATCTCCTCTGTGTAAGGAGTCCACCTTTAAAGCACCCCAAAGCCCCTTGGCAACCCATCAGCCCGCCCAGGAGGATAGCATGGGTGGTAGGGTGGTCTTTCTTTTAGGAGCCTCTCTGTTTCCCCTACCGCGTTGGGTGGATTTGGGGTAATTTTTTCCCCTGCTCCTTCTTTGACATGTGTGAATGGGGCGGGAAGGACGGGGCTCCAATTCAACACCCGGAACCGGATGGCCCAACCGAGCGGAGAGAAGAGCTCACTCCAAAATTTCGGAAGCGCCCTCAGCAGATGGCTTTCCCATTGCTTTCTTGTCCAGCTGTTCCCCAAATCAGATCTGCGGTTCTGGATGCCCGCTGTGCCCTGAGAAGTGCCCATTTCCTTCAAAAAAAAAAAGCCAGTTTTTCAGCCGGTCTCAAAATAATTTTATTTCAGATTCCTCCTTCCCCTGAATTTCAATGTTTTAAAAGTTATGCAAACAAAGAGGGGGGAAAAAAATCAATTTAGAGTTTCCTTTTTTTTTTTTTTTTAACGGGAGAGCAAACTCACAAAGATCTCTCTCCCACGGTTGCCTGTGTTCCTGCCGGTCGATCTGGGAGCCTTTTCTTTGGCAAAGAAGACCTTCCATCCCTCAAAGATGAAGAAGCTGCTTTGCCTGATGCCTTTCTCTGCCTGGAAGCAGAAAATCTCCCTGTGCTCTTAAGACTTTGCCCTGCCCAAAGTGGCAGGGAGAGGCGAAGGTCCTGTCCTTGCAGAGAGCAAAAAGGCTGCCTCCCAACTACGTTTCTTCCTGGCCCAAGAGTCAGGAAACAGAAGAGAAAGACCGGAAGAGCTGTGAGAACCCAACCGACGATGACTGGAGCCCAGCATTGGTGCTCTGCGGCCACCAGAGTCTCCTGGAGAAGTTCAGAGGTGACCAGAGAGGACCAGAGATGACCAAGAGAGGACCTGCCTCCCCACCTCTTCCCTTTCCATGCACGGCCACTAAAGGCAAATCTCTGCCCATCTGTCATGGCTTCCCAAGCTGGGGAGAGGAAAAGAGAGACTTTCCATGGTGTCTCCTGGAAATGACTTCTATGGAGTTAAGGACCAGTTAAGGGACAGTGGGTGTCCTTTGGTTGCCCTGAACCTACAGCCCATGAGAAGCAAATGAAAAAGACAAGGAATTGCTCAAGGTATGAAGAGCCAGAGAGGGTCTGGCTTCCAGGTGGACATTCACTGTCAAGACTTGTCTGACTTCTATCTAGCCCCGTTTTGTGAAGGGCAGTGCCCCCCTCCAGTTCTCCTCTCCTTCCCCCACTCAGCCTTCTGCACCAGGAGGGGCAGAGTTCATAATGGGCTCCCTTTCACCAGGAGTAGGCAATCTGCGGCTCTGGAGCCGCATGTGGCTCTTTACAGCTCCCTGTTGTCTGATCCCAACCACTGTCTGACCCCTTCCCTCCCCGTCACTCCTCCCCTGTCCTGAGAAGGGGGATGGCAGGGGATGGAGACTCGCTCCATATTCCACAGCAGGAGGTGGCCGGGTGGGAGTGAGGTCGAGTTGACCACCCACCTCCCAGTCACACCGGTTGTTAAATTATTGGCTTTCTGTGGGAAACGGATCCAAATGGCTCTGTTGAGTGTTTGAGGTTGCAGACCCCTGCCCCACACTGTAGTGATTTACACCTGCAGCCCTTATAAGCAGTCCCCCTCCCACGCAACCCCAGGATAGAGTTTGCTGTCTACCTCTCAAGCTAAGCCAAATTTTTGCTTAACTCTCAAGCTAAGTCAAATTTTTACCTTTAACTGGTGTTTGTTGAATAAGCTGCGTACAGTAACTGGGTTTGTACATTGGGCTAATCCGCAAGCCAAGGCCTTTACAAACCACAGTGCGCCACAGGGGCAGCGTTCACGTCGGTGCCTACCTACCCTGGCTTATTACGGTGGCACCCATTGCCAGCTCCTGGCTTCATTTAATCCCTTCCCTTGCGGCAGAGTTCTCTGTTTTCCAGACTTTCATTTGCTTAAGTCACAATTCTTAGCGATGGGATGTGGGGTGTGCAGAGGGAATGAAAAGGGTGACATGTTTTCAAGACTTTGAAATTGATATGAAGGGACATCCTGTTCCAACTGTTGGCAGCAGAAAAACTTGGACTCGATGGGGTGGAGACATGGAGGTTTTATGAGTTTTGGAAATTTATGGGCTTCGTACCCTGAATCACCCCTGCCTGGGGTGTCCTGTGACTTCCTCCCTTGGGGGGCTTGGAGGAAGCACTCGGAAGCTGCTTGGAAATTATTTCGGGCTCAAATTAAGACGCGGCCGATGTGGACAGAGGTGGATTGCCTGTTGAGTTCCTGGTCCAATGGAACAAACCCTTCTCTTTAAGAGGGGTGGTGGTGCTTTTTCAGCTGCTCCGATCGGCACCAATCCAGAATCCATGGGCCGTTCTGTTCCAGAACACAGCAGTTCCTTGAGGAGTAAGAGGCCGAGCCGTCCAATGTGGTTTCCCCTCCACGAAGCCAGAAACCCCTCGAGGGAAGTTTGAGGCTGAAAACCTCAAAACAGGCACAAAACAACACAAAAAAAGCCCCCCCCCCCAAAAACCTCAACCCGTAAAGTCTGAAGAACTGAGCCTTTAGAACAAAACTCGGAGAAGGAGGACGGAGAAGATGGCCGAAATCAGAGGGACGGATCCGGACCGGCTGCCTGGCGTGCCCGAGTGGCAGTGCGCCGGGTTCTCACCGATGCAGGCGGCGTAGGCCATCACGTGCGGGATGTAGTTCTGCTCGTGGACCCCGTGGAGGAGGTGAGCCATGGGGCCCTTGGCGAAGACGGCTACGTCCTCGCCTCCGTGCGTTTCCATGCGCAGCGGCACGGCTGACTGTGCTTGGTAGTTGGCATCGGCTGCAGAGAGAGAGAGGGAAGGTGAGTACCGTGCAGAGGGAGGGAGGGAGGGAGGAGCAAGACGAAGGGAGGGAGGATATGGAGCCGGTGCCCTTCGGTCTTCGGAGATCAGTCAAGGGAGAAGAGATGCTCTGGCAAACTCTTGGAGCAAAGGTCTTCACGCTTGGCAAGCTTAAGACTTGTGGACTTCATCTCCCAGGATTCCTGAGCTAACATGACTGGAGGAGGAATTCTGGGAGTTGAAGTCCACAAGCCTTAAAGCTGTCAAGTTTGAAGACCCCTACCTTGGAGGGACAAGCATCAGGGCTGATCCAGGGGTCCCAAAGCAGGGAGAAATCTGGCCTGGCCTGGCCAAAGAGCCATTGTCCCTTTGGAAATGAACAGGGTCTCGCTGATTCCCCCATTCGCTGGAAGGAAGAGGGGGAACCATTGATTGGTACTCACTGAAATTGACCGCAGTGATGTTCTCTCTCTCTCCCGCTATCACTTTGTACCCGGGACCGTTCCCGTACAGGATGGAAGTGAACGGCTTCTTGTCCATGTCGCTCTGCATCGGGGCCAGCCCTAGAGAAAGAGAAAGCCATCTTTACCAAGGCTTCTCCCATAACCTATTTGAAGCCTTTCTCTATATGGACACGAAAAGATCGCTCCCGGCATTAAGTGGAGCCAGAATTTACTTCCCAGGCCCCTTTCGCCCAGGGAAGGAGGGAGACCCAGTGTTATGGGACCAGCTGGCACCAAGTGGACATGACCCACAAGTTGGGCTGTCCCCCAGGGAACTGCACCCTCTGCCGTCCAAGGGGCATTTCGCTGACCAAGGATTCCAGCATTGACACAGGGCGTCAGTGGACGGAGACGCCACATACCGAAAATGGAGTTGCCACGGGTTGTGTAGCCCCCAAAAGTGAACACGTGGGAGTGGTCTGCGGTCACCACCGTCAGGGTGTCTTCGGAAGAGGTCAGGATGCCAGCCTCGCCAATGGCCCGGTCCATCTCCACCACCTCGTGCAGGGCCTGCTTGGCCTTCCCTTCATGGTGCCCGTGGTCAATCCTGCCACCTTCAGAGAACGGAGAGGGTGATCTCCCAGCGTGGTTCCCCACCCCCCTCCAGCCCTCTTTGGTCTCTTCCTGCCCCCCTGCCCCAGCACCTATGGTGCCCCCCCTTCCCGTGGCTCACCCTCGACCAGGAGGAAGAATCCGTGGGGGTTCTTCTGGAGAATTCGGATCGCCACCGTCACCATTTCGGTCAAGGAAGGGTCGGTTTGGTTGTTCCTGTTCAGCTCATACGTCATGTCGATGGGCTCGAAGAGACCTGCAGAAAAGAGGGACTTGGCAAGAGCTGCCCAGAAGATGCCATGCCGGCACCCACCCCTTTTAAATCCTGAGTCTAGCCACGTCTCCCAGAGTTTAAAGAAGATTTTACTGGGAGTGGCTATGTCGGCGTTACTTGGAGGTAGCCGACTCTGAGACACATTATTCATTTCACCCTTGGTCCTGGTCTTCCCCCCACCCGATGTATATTCTCCAATGGGACACATCCATAGCCATGAGTCAACAATCATGCTCTCCAGTAATAATCTTGCGCTCCAGAAGCTTCAGTCGCCTAGAATTATCTAAGGAATGCACTGCTTCCCCTATTCCCTTTCTGCTGGCAACTCTAAAAGACCAGAGGAATATTTTTGAGTTGATAGCCACCCAGGCAACTGAGGGGGGTGGGGGTTTTTTCCACCAGGACCCTTCAGCTGCTGTTTTTCAGCGACTTGCTGTCCTGAGGATGCGCTGCTGTGTGCACAGCTGTATAATCCACACTATAACGGACATTAATACGATTGAGCGAGTCCAGAGGTATTTCCCGAGAAATACTCCTCTGCTCGCAATAGAATCCCGTAGGCTACCAGGCTTGATATTTTGGACCTGGACAACCTAGAACTACGGTGCCTACAGTCTGACCTCAGCTTAGTACACAAAATTGTCTGCTACAACATCCTGCCTGTCAACGACCACTTCAGCTTCAACTGGAAATAACACACGGGCAAGCAAGAGATACAAACTCAAAGTAAACCGCTCCAAACTCAATTGCAGAAAATACAACTTCAGCAACAGAATGGTCAGTGCCTGGAATGCACTACCTGACTCTGTTGTTACATCCTCTAACTCCCCCTCCTTTAACCTCAAAACTAACCACTATTGACCTCACTCCATTCCTCAGAGGTCTGTAAGGGGGCGTGCGTAAGTGCGCCAGCGTGCCTACCGTCCCTGTCCTACTGTTCCCATTTATTCATACTCCTCTATTATGTATATACTTATACCCGTTTATACTTAAATGTTTATACATTATGTTCATACTTATACTTGTTTTCTCCTACATGCTTGACAAACAAAACAAAACAAAACAAACAAATGTTCTGGCTGCTCCTGTGAGGGTCTCCAGCCTTGCTCCTTGCCAAGGTGCCAACCCTCAGCTGCCTGTCCTTCTCCGAAGCCCCCCAGCGCCCCTCCTTGCAAGAGGAAACGCTCACACGGAGAGTAAAACTTTGTAGCCATTAATTATCCCAAAGGCATAAAACGGACTGGCAGAAAAGATCGTTATCCCCTTCACCCATTCAACGAAAACGGGGGAGCAAGCGAGGCGGCTTCTCGGGCCTTTGAATTGCCTACAAATTCATCCCACGCTGGAGGGCGAATGACACGCCCAAATCCTTACTTCTACCCCCCCCGCCCCCCCTAATTTTATCCATTTGGGCTTGGAGAGTGAGCGTTGTCCTTTGCTCGTGTGACGGACATCCGGCACTGGGATAAATTCAGTGCCAAGACTGGCCAAGCGAGTCGTGTCAAGAGAGGTCAATCCGGAGGCCGTAGGGGCTCTTGGGGGGAGGGGGGGTCTCTGCTAAAGGGGGCCAGGACCCCGAGAGTCCACCTGAGCTCCCACCCATCTGCCCAACTCACCCAAAAGATAGTCGACTTTCGCTGGGTTCAGCTCCATCAGCCCTGCCCGGTTCCATAGATAGAGGGCGTTCTGGGAGAAGAGGAGAGGAGGGCTGCTCAGCCGAAGGGTATTTTAGAAGCGGGATCTCTGCCCCTTCCCTGACTCCAAGGATGGCCAGGGCAGCTGACAAAGGGGGTTGTGGCTCAGGCCGAAGAGAGGAGGAGGAGGAGGAAGGGGGAAGAAGAGGAAGAAGAAGAATAAGAAGAAGAAGAAGAAGAGGAGGAGGAGGAGGAGGAGGAGGATCTGATGCCCAGGAGGAACCTCAACTAGACTTCGCCCGGGGCAAGCCACCTCCTCTCTTCCCAGCCCCTACCTCCGTGATGGTGATCAGAAACCACTTTGCTGACCTGGCCAGCTTTGCCTCCTCACCTTGTCTTTGGGCTTGGCGTCCTGCCACTCTTGGACCAGATTCCTGTTGTCCAGCCGGGTCCCCTTGTACTTCTCCTCCTCCGGGTACTCCACATCGCTCGTGTTCTTGGGGAACATGTATTTCCGGCCTCCTCCCATGATGACCTGAGTGGAGGAGACGAGAGGGTAGCTGGCGGCCAAGTGCCCAGGCCAGTCAAGGCAGACCCCTTCCCCACCAAGAGAGAGAGAGAGAGAGAGAGAGACCCTCGGGGCCGGGGGCACAGCGTCATGGAGGGGAGAGAGGACGGCCAGAGACAAGGGGACGCAGAGGCTTCCCTGTGATGGCACAGCAAGGCCTCCATCACCTCTGATGTTGGCCCGGCCAGACCGCTTACCCAGCCGGGGATTTGGCAGAAGCTGCAGGAAAGAGTCCAAGAGCAATTTGAGGCAACCGAAACGCTGCCCAAGGGCTGGGTTGGCGCCTTCAGGCTCCTTTCCCAAACGAAGAGGATTTTAATTCAGCTGGGCAGGCATCTGAGGCGGCCTTGATGGAAAACCTATTTATTTGACCACAATCCCTTTCTACTGGCTGTTCCAGTCTCCTCTTCGGATTTAGGGCCTTAGAAGGTGAATCACGAAACTGCAGCAGCAGCAGCAGCAGCGAAATAATCATAATAATTACACACCGAAAGATCTATATTAAATAGAATTGGCTGCCTAAGGTATAATTATTTCCAGCCTCGGAACAAAGTTAAAATTATATATTAAGGGGAAAAAAAAGCCCCTATTAAGCTACTTAAATGACAGATTTAGTTCTCCTTTTCTCCGGAAGGATTTGTTTTCAAACGGAAAGACGCACCTATTTATTTACCCCAGAAAAATGTGGTGCCCGATGCCAGGGGAGCTGACGTTGGCACCGGTGCAGGCACGGCCATTGGCCAGCCGGCCTCAACCCACAGGGCAGCTGCACGGTAGACTCGAGGGGCACCTGGTGCCAAGGGCTCTGTGGAGAAGAATTGCAGCACCTGGAAACAGCTGGGATGGCCAGATGTGCGCCATGGCTGAGCCAAGCCTTGGGACGGGAAGGTAGCTCCTCCGGGGCCTCCTGGCCTCTCTCCTGGCAAGGCCGCCTTCCCACGCCGGCCAAGGGTTTCATAACCAGTGCAAGAAGTGAGACTTCTGCTCATGGGAAGGAGACAGATTCTGGGAACGGCCCTCAACCAGGAACCGGCCTCTGGGATAGAGATAAAGGTTATATGCTAGTCATTCCGGCTCTAGGGGGTGGTGCTCATCTCCGTCACAAAGCCGAAGAGCCAGCGCTGTCCGAAGACGTCTCCGTGGTCATGTGGCCGGCATGACTCAAGGCGCACGGAGTGCTGTTCCCTTCCCATCAAAGGGGTCCCTATTTTTCTACTTGCATTTTTTTTTTAACATGCTTTCGAACTGCTAGGTTGGCAGAAGCTGGGACAAGGAACGGGAGCTCGCTTCGTTCCGCGGCGCTAAGGATTCGAACCGAGGCAGCCCTCAACCTGCTTCCTGCCCCTGATGGTTGGTCGTTTTATGGAATCCAGATGTTCTTTGGGGCCTGCCAGCTGCAGGGATCAGCCAAGCAACTTTTCCTCTCCTGGAGTGTGTGCGTGTGTGAGGGCAACCTTCCTCGAAACGAAGGAAGCCATTTGGAAACACAAAGGCGCAGGGCTCCTACTGAGACACCCCCAATGCCACAAAGTACCGCTTGGTTCCTCTTGCAACGTGCCATCTGCCCCAGTAAAGCGAGGAAGAAGGGCCGTCGGTGCTGTGTCCCCTCTCTGAACCTGGCAGGCCTTCCTGGGAAAGCTGCGTTCAGGCTGGGACGTTTGTCCTGCCCTTAATGACCTCTTGAGACTCCTGTTTCTGCTGAACCCAGCCCTGGTCCACTTCTTGGGAAATCAGTGGACACCCTAGATAGGTCCTCAGTTCCAAAGAACATCCCTTTTTGGAAGTGATGTCCTTCCAAACATCACAGGAAGAAGCTCTTGCCAGCTTGGAGACTGGAAAAAAAACTGGCTTCAAAATCCCCTGTTTAAAAAATAAAAAACATTGTTCTGAACCTCAGGATGAGAGCAGGATGAGATCTCTGGAGTGCACACCAATGCACTCAAACAGGGAGATATTGTGCCAGTTGTCTACTTTGGCTGGAGACAATAAGATTTCATTTCAGGCACATTTGAAACTCATTAAAGTTAACAACCGTTGCCAGTCACAAAAGCTTGTTTTAATAATGGTTTTATGCAATAAGTTCAGGTTTCATCACATGCGGAAAAAAATTTATGCAGTGGATTAAAGGCTGAGGTCCTTAATGGTTTTTGCACATTGTTCGTATGTTTAGACTCCAAACTTTAGAGGATGCTGCCTTTTTCAAGGATGGCCGAAGGTGATTTGCTGATTCTTCGGTGAACTTCAGATTTTTTTTTTTCTCTTCCTTCTTCCCTTTTCTCTGGGCTAGGAAGCGTGCTTGAATCAAAATTATCTGGGCTAGGAGGAATCGAAAGGAAGAAAATCCGAGCTGCCATCACGCCTCATGATTTAAACCACCAGCAGCAGAATCAAAGGCGAAGAATTACTCATGCTGAGATGGGGAAAGGTCATAAATCCAGAGGAGGGGGATTTTTTCCAGGAACACCCGTGTTCTTACTTCATTGCCAGAGATGGCTTTCCAAACCATTAATAAGCAATTTTGCAACCTGTAATTGAGAGTGTTTTTCCTTTAAAAAAAACAAACAAAAGCCAAGCTTTTGTTAATGTATGTGGTTTGCCTCATGCTCATATATCAACTCCGTGTTTATAATAGAGTTGGAGAATTGAAAAGCCCAGAGTTGGACTGGACAAAGCAGCGCAAAGAAAGGAGAAGAGACCAACAGGAGGATAGTGCTGTCCCATCCCCCCCCAATGGGGAGGGGGTGTTCTGGCCATGGGAACTATCCACGGCTGCCAAGATGACTCAGCCCTCTTCATTCTGCCTCTTCCTTTGCCAATTTTCTTTCCTCACCAGTCAGCCTTGACTGGACTGGAGGACTTTTAATTTTCAAGGAATTTAAGGAGTTGCACTTCAACTTGAGGCAGTTCTGAAGACAGGGAACCAAGCTTCCTGTCTTCTCAAGAAAGCGAGCCAAGCTTCTTGTACTGGGAGTGCTCTTCGCTCAACTGAAGTCTCCTTGTGGGTCATCAAGAGGCAGGTGTCCCTCCCTCCTTGTAAACCTCTTTCCCACGCTTCCTTTCATCACCCCAGGGGCCGGCTTGCCTTGTGGAGGACAGCCATCTCAGTTCCGAGCCTCAATTGAAGACGCCCATCTTAGAAGGAGGAAGGGAACTCTGTCGAAATGATGGCCCAGAAAGGTTCTTGGCCGTGATCCAAGAGACAAGGATGCACATCCTCCCTTAAAACAGACCAGTGGGTACATTCTTTGGAGAGATGGCTTGACCAGGGGTGGTATTCTACCGGTTCAGCTCGGTTCGGCGGAACTGGTAGCTCCGAGGATTATCTGTGAATGAACCTGTTGTCTCTGACTATCAGCTGCTGGGCCTTCCCGCTGGCCCCGGCTCCGTTCTGACCTTTATTTCCTGGTTTTGAAGCTCAGCTGCTTTGCGCGGCACAGCAGATTGTCGCACGGCAGCTGTTGAAGACACCGGGAGAGTACAGAAGGTCAGAAGCAAACCCTCTGCAGCGTGCAAAGCGTGCATTTGGTGCACGGGCACAAGCGCAAAGCGCACCCACCAAGCCACGCACACCGAACCGGTGGGGGAAAAAAAATTTGAATGCCACCACTGGGCTTGACTGGTGAAAAGTGGGCAGATGGAGGCCAACCAAGACCAGGATTTGGAAAGGAGGCGGAGAAGGAGGAAAATCCAGCTTAGACGACCAGAAGTCGTCGGGTGGAACTGAGATCCAGCGTTTCACTCCCTGGGTTTGTTGTTGTTTGTTTTGCTTGGCAGAAGATCAACAGGTGACGGGGAGCCTCCATCCCATTCCCAGGTCTTGGGTTCAAAAGGCAGCAAAGCGGGCCCAGGCCCCGATCCTGAAGGGGCTTCTTGATCTGCTCACCGTCCTTGCTCCTGGTTGGAAACCCGACGTAGAGAAAGGAGGGACCTCCCATGGCTCAAACGGGTGGGAACACCTGACTCATCGCCCGTCTCCTTTTACCTGGACGGATCCTGAGGGTCTCCCTGGGTGGGGCCTTCATCCAGGGAGCCACCCAAGGAGGAGAAACGGCACTTTGGACCTACCCAGAGTCTACGGCTGCTCGCTTGCACCTCCCCTCCCCTGACCGGCTTCTCCGGCCTCTCCCTCTGGACTCACCTCGATGTCCGGGATGTTTTCAAACAGCTGGTGAGCAATGTCTTTGCATCCTTGCTGAAGCGCTTCAGGGGGCATCTCGTTGTCCGAATACCAGTCCCGGTCGGCCGAGTGCGCGTATGCAGCACTCGGTGTGGCGTGGTTGACACGGGTGGTGGTGACAATGCCCACAGATTTGCCTGCCACCGGAGGAAGAAAAGGTACATTAATCACTGCCACCAAGGGGGGTGGGGGTATTGGGTCTCCTGGGCACAAAAGCCCGCCTGGGCATAGTGCCAACGCTTTCCTTGGCTACTTGGCTAAATCAACTACTTCTCTGTGAAGGGTTCAGCCTTTCTCAAAGTTTATCAACTTGGCTGAACTGTTGGTTTTCTAAAAAAATTCTTAGCTAAACTTTGTCCTGTCTCTCTCCGCTGCACTCCACGCCCATGGAAAGAACAATGGGGCCCTATCCTCCGCTTACTCTCCCCTCCACTCTCCCACCCACTCACCCCCTGCCTGTGGAAGCTGGAGTGGGGGGCGGAAAAAAACCCCTGACATTTATTGTGGTTACTGATTTTGAGTCTCCATTAAATTAAACCCTGAAGTAGAACAGCTGTGCACAACCCGGGCAGTGGGCAGTTGTCTAACCTTTGAATGCCAGTTAGTTAATAAGTCCCTGATGGCCGTTTAACTAAAGATTTAATGTTTATCTCGCCTCTGAAATTTGGCTGTTTAGAGGGCACAGAATCCTATTGAAAAAGGATTTTAAAAAACGACCAAACAAAAGCAGTGACCGAAATATTCCTGGCTGCTTTACCAGAAAGGAAAGTGAGAGCTTTCCTCGTTCGCTTTTCGTGGCCTTGAGGAATTTCCATGGTCCAGGCAGCCATGATATCGGCAGCTTGCTGGTCTGTGGCTTAGCGTCCTGTGGACCCCTCCCCACGGTTAACAGACCGCGGTTGTCGTGCCTTAATGCCGCGCGTTAGGGCATCCAGGGGTGGCTTATTCAGCAAGCGCATTATTATTTTTTTTAGCAACAGGTGAGCCTTTGCTGTTTTCACTCCAGCATCGGAGGCGCTAAATGTTCTCCCGGGCGTATGATCTATTTTCTGCAAATCTTAACGCTTAGTTGGGGGGAAAAAAGGCCCCCTTCCTGATTTCATTTTATCGAACGCCTCCAAAGGTACCTGTGCATACCAGAAGAGAAGCCTCTATCACCAGCCCCGTGAAGCAATTCCTCTGAAAAAAATCTCATGGCTAGGAATACATTAATTTCCTTCCCTGCTCAGCTGGGGTGTACCATTCACCCGTGTGGATTTCATGGGCCTCTCAGCGTATATAATGCCCCTCGTGCTCATCCTTGGTCACTTCCCTTTGGACAATTACTTCCTTTCCAGCCTTTACTGGAAGCTATTAAACAACAGCCTTTCCGACTCCGGCTGCTAACCTGGGATTCTCCTGGCCACCCTAAAAGTCTCCCCGCTATTTTCACTGCTTCTTCAATCATGGTCGTCCTTTCCGATCCTGACGCCCGATTGGTTTCCTCTTGCAAAGCTTGGGTCTCTTCACTTCAGAGTTAGATGGTGGTTAACCACAGGAACAGCCTTGAGAACAGAGAGCTGCAGGCCAGGGAGCTGAGTGTGGAAGAGCTGAGACAAGCGTGCAGAAGCACCTGTTCCTCTTGTGGGCTGGGATTTCCCCACCTTTCCCCAGCGAGGCGGTGGGGTTGAACCTCAGCCCTTCCTTGTCCAGGGCCACTTCCGCCAACAGGGGACGGATCCACCGCGCAGCTCAGACGCCACCGAGGAAGGGCGCAAGGTCACGTACCACACATCCCAGTCCCATGTTCCGTGCCATCCTCCTCACCCCCTCTAGAGGAAGGTCAAGTTTTCTATCCTTCCTTTCAGTTTCTGGACCCATTCTAGAGTCGGTTTCCCAATTTACGAGAAACCTTGCAAGTTGGGCGCTCTGGAATTTCAAGGGGCAGCCAAGGCTGCTCACAGGCCAGACCAAGTCTCTTCCGCCATCTGTCTGCCGGTATCCTTCACCATCTGGTGCTCTCCAACCGATTGGATTCTGGTTTGCCTAAACCACATTTCGCTACAAGCCAGCTGACAGAGAGAAGCGGACGTGATACTGAAACTGTGGGTGCCGACTTGGCTCTCAGTCCCTCCTGGGATGTCTGGACACAGGCATCCGCTTCCAAGCCCACTTTTATCAAACAAGGTTGGACCTTACGGTGCCAAAGGCATCGGGGCTGTTCAGGTACCCCCTTTGCCCCCCAAACCATCATCCACTCGCTTCTTTGCAGCCTTTTGTCATCTCCGGCTCTCTAGCTACAAAGCATGGGTTGTGTACGTGAAACCCTTTGCACAAAGCTCCTCCGTGCCTTAGCCTTACTTGCCACTTCTTGGCGATTTCCAAACACACCCGGGCAGGCGCTCCTTTGCACGGGGGGCTGGGGGAGGGAACATCTGCCAAAGATGGTTTATGGTCACCTTTAAGGAAGAGCCTTAAACCACGAGGCCTTTTTCACACCAGCGTCCAGCACGTTCTACAGACCCGTGAGAAGCACCTTGGGTCAGGAATACAAACACGATAGGGGCCAGTTTCCACATCCCGCTTCCTGCTCAGCTGGCAGCGCCACCTCATCTCGAGGAAAGACAAGCCCAGCAATTGCAAAAGCTAATTGTTTATCAGACACCTTTTTGGCTGCCAGCCACCTGGGAGCCTTCCGAGCACCGCCCAACGTCAAACTCTGAAGCCTTCGCACGACTTTTAAGTTCACAACTTTCCCAAGACCTCCCAACACACGTACTCCTCAAGGAGGGAGACCCCAGACTACCCATCCCAGGCTGACCGCCACCCACCTCACACCCACCTCGATTGCCTCACCTGCTGCTTTCGCCCACTTGAGTATGGAGGTCACTTCGTTGCCGGCTGTCGTGTTGCACTGGGACCGTGTCACGGCTGCGCTGACTCCCACGGTGCCTTCGTTGGCCTTCACACCACATAAGAAAGCGGTGGCGGTGCCCGCACTGTCCGGCACCTGCGCATTGGTGTTGTAGGTCTGCCAGAAAGAAAGAAAGAATTGTAAAATGGTAAGCGATTCACCCTGTAGGAGCCCTGCTGCTTCCCACCGTGGATGTACCCACAGCCTGGGGTGGGATTCAGCCGGTTCAGGAGAACCGGTAGTTCGGGTGATCAGTTAGCCCCACCCACCTGTCCCTCCCCTAGGTCAGTGGTCACCAACCAGTGGGTCTGGGACCGCTGGTCTGCGAGAAAATTTTGGTGGTCCACAGAGAAATGTCACCCCCCCCAAAGCAATTAATCCAGGCTACATGGGAACATAAGGCTGCGCTGCCCACATGGGAACACAAGGCTTGTATCGCTTGCATTGCGAACAACATGAGGTAGTGAGGGGAGGGGGGAAAGGGTGGAGGGGGTAATTTGCCCCAAGCGCCCCATGCGCCTCGCCTGGCCACCCGGCTGCTTCTTTCCACTTCTCTCTTCTTCTGCTTTTGGCTGCACACAAGGAAAGCAGCCAAAGTCTTTCTTTCTCTCCCCCAAACTCTGCCAGAAATGAGTCTTTGGGACCCTGCAAGGCCTCCTGCTCCAAGAAGCTGCGCCGGCATGACATGTCTCACAAAGACTCCTTTCTGGCGGAGTTTGGGGGAGAGACAGAAAGACTCCTGCTGCTTCTGCTGCTTTCCTTGCAAGAAGCCAAAAGTCTCTCTCTCTCTCTCTCCCTGAGAACAGAGCTGGAGACAGTATCCTGCAATCCCAAATAAAGAATGATGGATTGGTAGGAAAACAGGGTGGGGAATTTTCCTGCAGACTTTTTTGGGGGGGATTTTTCCAGGGTCTCTGATCCGCCGGATTTAAAATGATGAGGTTGGTGGTCCCTGAGGTCCAAATGGTTGGCGACCCCCTCCCCTACTCTGTCCTTTACTTCCATGTTTTGCAGCCCAGCTGATTCGCCCGGCACAGCAGATTGCCGCATGAATCAGCTGTTTTACGCACCAGCGCTGCAGCAGAAGGCAAGTTTGAGAGCTGAAAATGGGCGATTTTGAAACGCTGCGCGAACGCACAAGGCACACGTTTCGTGCATGTGCACGCAGAGCTTGCGCTTACTGAACCAGTTGTTACACCAGCTGAATCCCACCACTGTCAAAAGCCTTGGGGATACAGCTCTGGGTGCCAGCTTTATGGCTACCAACTTGGTTCCTAGCCTCTCCCCTCCTGAACCGCCATCAGCAAGTTTAATTTCTCCGATTGGGTGCAACTCATTTCATTGCCCATTTAAGCTGGCTGCCTACACTTGCGAGCGAACGGCCGAGCTGCGAACATGTCTGAACTCAGGCCTAGAACCCGGTGTCCCAGAATTTGTAACAAAAGACTAATATTAATCTCCTCTCCATTCCTGTTGGTGGGACTTTTTGTGCGGACCAGAGGCATGAAGTTGGCAAGGCCGCGGTTGCACAACGTTCCTCCTTTTGAGCAAGCAAGCGTGGCTTGTCCATTGTGATAACTGCAGGTTTTAAATGTCTGCAGGGAAGGAAAGCAAAAATCGGAGGTGGGATGTTTGTCCGGGGAAGGAGGATTGTTCTACTTCTGCTCTCTTGTGGTTCCCTCCTGGTGAGCTTTGCCAATTTCCATAATCCCATCCCAAAAAAGGGATTTTGAGCCATCAAGGGAAGTTGCGTGACTCTTCCCAGAGATCAGCTAGAGGCAGCCTGGTTGTGATCACTTAGGCAAGAAAACCCAAAAGTGCACATATAGACTGGGTGAAACCAGGCTTGATAGCAGTAACTGTGCTAGAGGGACCTTGGAGTCTTAGTGGACAACCAGTTAATTATGAGCCAACAGTGTGTGGCAACAGCCAAAAAAACCATTGCAGTCCTAAGTTGCATTAACAACGGTATACAGTCAAGATCATGTGAGGTACTAATACCACTCTATAAAGCCTTAGTAACATCTAGAGTCCTGCATCCAGTTTTGGTCGCCACACTATAAAAAAGATGTCAAGACTCTGGAAAGAGTGCAGAGAAGAGCAACCAGGATGATGAGGGGACTGGAGGCTAAAACATAACCATGAACGGTTGCAGGAACTGGGCTTGGCTAGTCTAGGGAAGAGAAGGACCAGGGGAGACATGATATTTGAGGGGCTGCCCCAGAGAGGAGGAAGGGGTCAAGCTATTTTCCAAAGCACCTGAAGGCCAGACAAGGAATAATGGATGGAAACTGACCAAGGAGAGATTCAACCTGGAAATAAGGAGAAACTTTCTGACAGGGAGAACAATCAACCCGTGGAACAGAAGTTGCCTTTGGCAGTTGTGGGAGCTTCATCCCTGGAGGCTTTCCAGAAGAGACTGGACTGCCATTTGTCAGAAATGGGGTAGGGTCTCCTGCTTGGGTGGGGGGTTGGACTAGATGACCTGCAAGGTCCCTTCCAGCTCTATTAATCTCTTAAGCCTGCAGCCTTAGGTCTGGCTTCCCAGCCTCTCTCTCTCTCTCTCTCTCTCTCTCTCTCCTCTGAGGACCAGATTGTCATCTGCCCAAGCACCTGTTTTAGGAGACAAGAAGGGAGAAGGATAGAACTGGTACGACTATATGATTTGTTTTAGAATAAATTACTTAAAATATAGTTATCTCATAAAGGCATGATTGAATAAAAGTATAGTCAAATTTCTTTTTCTTTAACAATGATATGATGATATATAAGTTTGCATTGACAATAAGAGTTATTATATAAGGTAATTGTAATTGTGACTATGAAATGAATGCACAAAACTGATGAACCAACCGACTCACTGTTTGTATATAAATACGGGAGAGCTGATGTTTTTATGTTTTGTCTGTTTGTTTGTGTGTTAAAAAACAATAAAAATTTTATAAAAAAAAAAAGGGAGAAGGCTTGGAGAGGCTGTCACGGAACTAAGGCGTGATGTTTGGTCTTTTAATGCAGACCAGCCAGCCTTCAGCATGTGATGGCAGAGGAACAGGTTCCTGGGTAGATTTGTGGGCGTGGGCCTTGTGTCCTTTTGCTGTGTGACACAGCGGCACCCTCCCCTCTTTGTCTACCAAGATGGCTTTTGTGTGTTTTGCGGGAAGCCGCCTTTGCTTCCTTCGGGCTGCAGAGGTTTGGCATCTTGTGCCCGGGTGCTTCCTGGTGATTTGCCTTCCTGTCCCCAAAACCACCCCTTGGCAGTCAGGTGTCTCTCTGGGTGTGCGTGGTTGTTTTCCACTTAGGGAAGTTAATCGCCTGCACCGTGACATGAGCTAACCTCGGGTTTCCCGCTGTCCTGCCAGCCTCTCCCTCTGGGCCGGGGTCCGTATGCGTCACCTGGAGCCTTGCCAGGTTTCCCCGGAACGAGTGAGGCGCGAGGTTTGCAATTCTTCCTCTTTTGGCTTCCTTAACTTCTCCACCCAGCCCTGAAGAAAGATTTCCTTACCTTAGACAGGGCCACAAACGGAAAGCGGTCCATTTCCAATAGGGTTTCTTCCCCAGTTCGTTGCTGCAGCTGTCCCTTCAGGATGCGAGCGGCCGTCACCGTGGAGATGCCCATCCCTGGCACACAGGAGAGCCTGGGTGAGTAGCTGACCCCAACAGTTCAAAGAGATCCCCCCACTCCGCTGTCCCTGGAGCTGCCTCAGTTTCCCCCATCCAGCCACGGCCAACAGGGCAGCCCGGGAGCCTCAGGGTCAGCCGAGAAACGCAGCCGTGACGTTCCTCGAGAACTTTTTAACTACCCAAATGTCCTCCATGCCAGTCTGCTTGGTTGGGGGTGGCATTCGCCCGACGGGCAATTCCGCGAGCTGCGTGGAAGGCTCTTTCTCAGCCCAGCCCACCTCATAGGGTGGTGGGGGAAAGAGGAGGAAGAACTACGCCCGTCGCCTCAAGTTATTTATAAAAAGCCAAAGGTAAAAGGTTCCCCTCGCACATCTGTGCCAGTCGTTTCCTGCTCTAGGGAGGGGCGGTGCTCATCTCCGTCAGAAAGCCGAAGAGCCAGTGCCGTCTGAAGACGTCTCCATGGTCACGTGGCCGGCAGGACTACATGCCCGAAGGGCTCCCTATTTTTCCCTTCCCACCAAAGGGATCCCTATTTTTCTGCTGGCATTTTTTACGTGCTTTCGAACTGCTCGGTTGGCAGAAGCTGAGGCCAGGAACGGGTGCTCACTCCCTTACGCGGCGCTGGGGATTCAAACTGCCAACTTTTCTGATCGACAAGCTCCGTGTCTTAGCCACTGAGCCACCCCGTCCCAAGTTATAAAAAATAAGCTGGTCAAAGAGGAGGAGAATTAGCGTGTCTTCTTCATTACCTTCCGTGCGCAGCTCCCCAGTGAGTTGAACGAAGGGACGGCCGAGGGCGTTAGGGTTAGGGATCGCCCTTCTCGGCCTGTGACCAAGGAGAATGGGGGAGACCCAGACCCCGCCCTCCTGCAGCACCCACCGTCTCCAAGGAAGAGGATGACGTTCTTGGCCACGTTGGTGTTCAGCTTTTGAAGGGTCAGCGCTCTCTTCAGTGTCTCCTGGGCCTGGAGCCTCCAGAACTTAGGGTCCTTCTCTTTCTCTGCATTGGGGAGGAGGAAGTGGGCAATAGCACCGCAATACTTGTGTCTCTGGTAAGATATATATACACACACGCTCACACACACACACACACACCACATACACAGGGCTTCTGCTTAGCACTCTCTGTGGTGACCCGCCAGCAGCCAGCGGACTCGGACAGTGAGGAGGTTGGGGAGTCCTGGAGTCTGACGACGGCTCTGCATCAGAGGCAGAGATGGGGCCAGGGCCGTCCAACAGCTGCCTTCGGAGTCGGACATCAGTGGGGCAGAAGAACAGCTGGAGCCTGTTCCTAGTGTGAGCATGCACAGAGCTGCCAGGGGAAGGGAAGTTAAGGAACAAGGGTCGACTCGGGAGTAAAGGCTCAGGTGGACAGTGAATGGCCCCTCCCAAAGGGTATAAAGAAGAGCAAACGGGGAATGGTGCTTTCAGGAAACAATTCGTTGGTTTAATTAGCATGAAGATTTGCTTAATTCGTGTGAAGATTTGTTCGTGACTCTCAGGGACTCCTTGCCAAGTATTTTCTGCTACAGGGTTGCGCTTGGGAGCTATCGGCCTGGCAACTCTCCAAGCCTGATTAAGGTCTGTGGTTGCACTTCAACCTTGAAAGATGGTTTGCCGGGACTTTGCTGGATGTGAATGAGAGGAATTCACGGTAGACTAAATAAAAGGGGTTTTGTCGGGACGAGGAGCCTGCTTCATGATTTGGGGAAGCCCAGGTCAGGACTCCCTCCTTCCCCACACCTGGCCGAGCATCCCGGCCAGCCTCCTGCCTTACCTGGGACCACGAAGGAGAGGTAGGCCTGTGCCAAGAAGGGGAGCAACAGCAGCAGGGGCTTCATCGTCAGGACTCGGGGAACCAGTTTCCCCAGCACAGCAAAAGTCCCTGGATCCTGCAAGAAGCACAGGGACACCCCCATCAGCCACAGAGCCAGCCGCAAGCGATCAGCGCCATCCCTTCAACATGACCTAGGAGCGTACGGCGGCAGCCCCAAAAGGGTAACACAATCCTTGGTTGTATAAACACGGAGGCACAGAATAAAAATCACATCGAAGTGTTAGTGCCCCATTAGAAATCCTTAGTAAGGCCACACCTGGAACGCCGCACCCAGTTTTGGTTACAAGATGTCGAGACTTTTAGGAAAAAGCGCAGAGAAGAGCAACTAAGAGAACGAAAGTCCTGGAGAACGAAACATGAACGGTTGCAGGATTTGGGTATCGCCAACCTAGAGAAAAGAAGGACTAAGGGGGACATCGGAGCAGTATTCCGGTATTTGAGGGGCTACCCCATCTCTGGTAATACTGATTTGCAAACTAGGGCATTCAAGACCTTTGCTGGACCAATACTTGAATACAGCTCTGCTGTCTGGAATCCACACTGTATATCAGACATAAATTGAGCGAGTCCAGAAGTATTTTACCAGAAGAGTACTACATTCTCCTGTTGACAGCAGAATACCTGACAGATTCTTGGCTGAGACAACCTTGAACTACGCCAGCTAAGATTGGACTTAAGCATAGTACATAAAGTCATATGTTACGTTACGACGTCTTACCACTTAACGAATATTTCAGCTTTAACTGCAACAACACAAGAGCACACAACAGATATAAACTCAAAGTAAACCACTTCAAACTTGATTGCAGGAAGTGGTCAATGCCTGGAATTCACTACCTGGTTCTGTTGTCACCTGCTCAAGCTCCCAGTCCTGTACCCTCAAGCTGACCTCTGTTGACCTCACCCCATTCCTAAGAGGTCTGTGAGGGGCGGGCATAAGCGCACCATCTTTTAAGAAAGACTGGACAGCCAGTTGTCTGAAACGGGATGGGGGTCTCCTGATGGAGCAGGGGGTTGGACTAGAAGACCTCCAAGGTCCCTTCCAACTCTTAATTCCGATCGATGGCAATAGCCGCGGGGGCCGCAAGGGAAGCGTGGGCAGGCTTGTGGGACCTCGAGACTTTCAAGGAGAGATTGGACTGCCCCCTGTCAGAAATGGTGCAGGGTCTCGCTCTTGGGCGGGGAGGGTTGGACTAGATGACCTACAAGGTCCCTTCCGACTCTGTTCACCCGTTAAACCGTCACCTGATCTCCCTGCAGGAGAAAAAAATCACGCCTGTCTCCCTGCCTGCCTCTGCTGCTCCCCCCCCCCCATCTGTAGCAGCAGAATTCCTTGGCGGGAGAAGATTGCAGGCCTGGGTGGGTGGGTGGCAGCCCCGCTCCTGCCCCCGGGCTGTCTTGCGGTGTCACTCGGCTTCCTGTGTGTTGCCTCACGGGGAGCGTTTCCTTGAAGGGTGGAGCGGGAGGGGGGGTTGTTAGATGCTGCAACAGCCGCCTCCTGGGCAGCAATCTCGCTCCAGCCTCCGGGAAGAGGGCAGCCATTCATCCTCGTGCAAGCGTGCAAGCTTGGAGCTGGAGAAAGGGTGGCGGAACGGGGTGCATGTGTGTGTGTGTGTGTGTGTGTGTGTGTTTGTGCGCTTTAGAGCCTTTGGACCACCTCTCCTCTTTACCGGTAGACTTTTGAACTTATTTTTGGAGCCCATCGAAGAAGGGCGGATCTGGACAAGCTGAGAAGCCCATGGAGCTGTCCCTGTTTGCACGCCAGAGAGTTCGAAGTCGTAATCTGGAATGGAAATCTCTAAAAAAAATATTTTTTTTTAAAAAAAAACCAGTTCGTTCAGCCGCCTCCGTGTCCTCATCGTCAAGACGGCTGGACGGTTTGTCCAGCTCAAAAGAGACTCGAATTCCTTCTTGGTCCAAGATTCAAGAGTGATAAGGGGACTTGGCCTTTTGGCGAAGCAACAACTTCTCCAAGTTGGCGTCTTTGGGACGCGTTGGGCTCTTAAGACCTGGCGGAGCCAACGCAAGGCCGAGCCAGTGCAGGCGAGAGGGCAAAAACAGGTGCCCCCAACTGGACGGAGAGCCGAGGGTGAGGCCTGGACAGCCTCGGTTGGAAGAACCGGCGCTCTAGGCAATTTCGGCCAGCTGGACCTCTGCAGATGCAGCCTCCCTTGAGGAAAACGTTCCAACGTAGTTCCACTCACCCAGCGCTTCCTCTCTCACAACCGCGTCCGATTTCTCCTCCTGCAAATCTCCTTTCGGTGCATCTGGCTGTCTCCAGAGGGGGGGGTCTTTCCCCACCGGGCTGCCCAAGGGAGAAGCAGCCTCTATCCCAGCCCCTTCCCTGCAAAAATCTTCTCCAGCGGGACTCCCGGGCTCCCCCACGAAGACACCTGCGTGTGGGGCAAAGCGGCTTTCCTCCCCTTCCACCTCACCCCCTGCCCCGCCCCGTAAGCCTCTCTTTGCTGCCACTAATTCTCTGGGATTATTCCCCTGAGCGCCGCTGAATCCATCAAATGCGCTTAAGAGAAGCCGGGAGCCTTTGGCAGGCAGGCAGGCCTGAAGCCAACTCCTTCCACCCCCCACCCACCCTCCCCCGCCCCAGCAAAGAAAGAGCCGGAAGGAGGCCCCTTGGCCACTGGCGGGAGCAGCTGCTGCCTCTGCCTGTACGCAGCTTCAGAAAGAGGGCCGGGGGGGTGGGGGTCTTCTGCAAGGCTGAGGTGGAGATTTTGGAAAGAAAGCCTGCTCGCCATTCTGCCTGGCCGGGCTCCTTGGCCCTGGTTGCCCAAAGAGGCAGCCCGCAGCAGAGCCCCTCTCTCCCAGCCGGCGGCCTTCAAGACCTCCAGCTTGGGGTATTTTCCTGCAACAGGGAACAGGACAATCCTCCCCACCCCGTTCAACACAGAGGGAGCTGTGGTGGACACCTTGAAACCGACCCCCCGCCCCTTCGCCGGACAGAGGCCGCCGGCGGAGGAAACCTCACGGCCCACGTGCCACCCTGTTGGAGAAGGAACGTCCGCCGTGCGTTTGGCACCTCTGCCTCCCTGTCCCGTTGCCCTCCCTGGCAAGGCGGCCTGTACGAGACCCACTCGGGGCAGGGCCGGTCCATTGGCGAAGGGAGCCCTTCTGAGAAAGTCCCCCAGCCATTGCTGTAGGCACGGAGCGACCCAGGCGGCCAGGGAGGGGGTATTCTCTGGGTCAGGGGGAACCAGGAGTCGAAAGAGCAAGGGAAATAAGCGGCCGGAGGAAGGCGGATTTAATGGGCCCCTTTGGCTGAGCTCTCTTTGCCCCGTGGTGTGTCTCTCCTGTAATCCCTTTAGGGAGGGTCCTTTTTCTAGCTGGTGGGGAGGGGGAGGCAGAGGGGCTCTTACTGCTCTGGGGGTGCGGCTGTAGCTCAGCTCCAGAGAGAGCCGGAGGTTTCCTTTTCGGCTTCCCGGCAACGCTCCCAGCCCACAAACGAGGCACGACAGGCTGGCCTGGGATTGTGCATCGGGGAAGCCCGCACTCTTGGCACGCTGGGATGAATCCGCCAACAGGTGTGGTGTCAGGGACTTGCCGCTCTTGTGAGTGGCATTTGGCAAGGCTGGGTAACCCGTCTTTGGGCAAACGGGCGAATCTCTCTCGGCTTCTTCCTGGGGGGGGGGGGGGGGGGGATCCACGGTGCCCCTTCTCGGCCCCCTCCCCTGCTCTCTCTTCCACCTTTCCTCAACCAGGTAAGACGTTGCTTTTAGGGTTTGCACACCTGCCCCACGCCTCCCTGCCGGCAGTGGCTGGCAGACTCCCCTTCCATGGGACACTCAATTCAGTCCCCCCCCTCTCACCGCAGGGTGGGGTGGGGAGGGGAGGGGGGTTGGCCTGGATCAGCCAGGCAGTTTGTGGAGGACAAAATCCTCGCTGCCCGGCCAAGGGAGCCGCTGGCTGTGGCAAACTTGCCTGGTGTTGCCTGGCAGCCTTGCTACCTCTTGCCTGGCACTGAGTCTGGATGCCAGCCATGGACAGCTCTGTCCCCAAAGCAACACCCCCCCCAAAATAGCTGGGGCTTCTCTGGGGAGAGCAGAGTCCTCAGCTTGGGGGAGGGAAGGAAAGGGGGTGTCCCAAGAGCCTCCCTTCCCTGACCCCAACTCAGCCTTGCCAAGGGATTCGGGGGAGCCCCGACCCCCAAATCTGACTAGCTATGCAGCTTGGGGGGGGGGGGGAGAAACAGCCCCGTTGCTTCCCACTCTCCTTTCTCCCTGTCCTGTTGGACCGTGGTCTTCCTCGCGAGGCCGGTGTGGGCGCGGGTGGCAACTTTTGGCGCCGCTGAGCCTCGTGGGAGTGGGGGGGAGGGAGGTTAAGTAGGGAAAAAGGGGTCCCCCTCCCCACGACGCACGCGAATCCCTTCCCCGGGGGTCGGGTGGGGGATGCGCTTCCTCGCGAGCCCGCCTGGTGCTGAGCCGCTTCGCCCTGGAAGCGGCCCATCGTTCGGGTCTTGCGACGGCGGGAGGGAGCGAAGATCGTCGGGACGACGGGGAAGGGGAGGGGAGGGGAGGGCGAGCGGGGGGGGGAGTCCCTCGGCCTCACCTGCGTCTTCCTCCTGCGCTCCGGCCCCGTCTGACTCCCGGGCACGCTGCAGGGCCCGGCGGGGCTTTTTAAAGCGAGAGGC